GATGGTGACAATGAAGAAGAAGATGATGATTGTGATACTGATGATGGTGGCGATTGTGATGAAGATGGTGGTGATGATGAAGATGATGTTGAGGATGATTGTGATGTTGCTGCTGCTGCTGAGGATGATGATGATGATGTTGATAAAGATATTGATGATGAAGATGATGGTGATGAAAATTATGATGACGATGTTGATGAAGATGTTGATGATGAAAATGTTGAAGATGAAGATGCTAATGAGATGGTGACAATAAAGGTGATGGTGATGATTGTGATGATGATGATGTTGAAGATGACAATGATGGTAATAGTGCTGATGGTGATGGAAGCGACAATGCTGACGACGTTACCCATTCAGGCTCTCCTGACTCTTGGTGATTCCATGTGTCTGGCCTCTCCACATCTGATCTTTCCCTGCTTCTTTGAGTCATTCCATGCTCTGTGTCAACTCATAAAATATTGCTATGGTCTTTTTAGAGTTGCCAACAGAAAGGCAGGAGGGGGAAAGAGGTTTGAAAGAGCAGTGCGGCAGCTTGGAAACAGAAAGCGCATTCCATAAATAGTTTTTCAAAGATAGTAACCAGGTGACTGAAATTTTTGCCACACAAAATTCTAACTGGAGAACATGATTGATGACTCTTGGCTATGGATGTGTCCCATTGGAGAATGTGAATTATGATACTCCCAGGGGGGTGGGGGAAAACCAGGATCAAGGCTGACAATGAATGATGTGCCTCAAAGTCGGCTACACCCAGACAGTGCCGGACATATTAACTCCCAATAAATCCTTTAGAAGTTTTGGAAGTTTGGCTCGAGATTCATGATTTAATTGGGAGCAACTGCTGGAATCCTGACACTCCGGTTGGTATCAGCTTTAAGGGTGTCCAGCCATTTTGGCAATCTGGTTTCTTTCTCCTGCTACCTCTTCCCAACATAATTGCTTTCTCCAATTAATTCCCCTGCATGACATGGCCAAAAGAAATGAGATGCAGTTTTGTAAATTTTTGGAAACCCTTTGACTTTCTTTTCTCTTCATTTTTCTCATCTAGGCTTGTTGAGCCACCGTGGGGTAAATGTCAATGAAGATGGGACTGACCATGCATCAGCTGTGACCAGAACCTCTGAAGCATTGCCTTCTTCTTGCAGCACTGGCCTCCAGGGAGAAGGAACATCTGCCTTGATATCAGATGCCCAAAACTTGCTGGAGACTCAGCTCCAGTTGAGTTCCACTGAGCCCTCTCCAAATGTACCATCCTCTCTCATCAAAGATGGAGAAGGAGAGAATACGGACAAGAAGGAGAAGAAAGGAACTTGGGATCAGAAAACACAGAGTGGTCCAGAAGTCACGGAGACCTCCGAAACTTTCCACTTGAAGACCAAAGCCGTTGGACACCATAGTGCATCACCTTCTCCTTTGCCAAACAGTAAGGCAGGGAAAGAACTTGGAGCAGAAGATATCCAGATAGCTCGCTCACAACGAATGGAGGTCCGAGCAAATGTTTCTAAACCTGCCAGGAACCGACACAGAGCATGTGATACAGCTGTCTGCGGAGAAGCTTCTCCTTCCCTGGAGGTGGATCCTGTGCTGTGCGTTCCACAGCTTTCTTCGTCTGCTCTGAAGACTTCCTCAGATGCCCCAAAGGACTTAACGAAGAAGAACAGGCATGCTGTCAATGAAGATGGAAGAAGGCCTTCAGATATGGAACTTCAGCCTTCTGAAGGCCCTGGGAAGCCAATGGATTCTTTGCAGGGCACAATGTCTACGTTGGAGGTTGATCCTGATAGACCTGTGCTTCTGAATGCAGCGGGGAAGAAACCATGCTTTCTACCTGCAGACAGCATCGTTCAAGAGTTGGGGAGTCTTTCTTCTGGAAGATCATCCGTTGTGGGATCGACCGAGGTTGCTTCCAAAACTCGCCTTCCTGGAGTTCCACTGGGAAACATCATCGTTGAGGAAGAAAGCAAAGCTACAGAGATGATCCAGACCCAGACAAAGCCTTCTCCTGTGAAGCCCGTGAGATTCACCATCGCTCCGGCCTGGCAGAGGTCTCTCTCAGGAGGTTCAAGCTCCGTCGACAATTCCTGCCCTCGAAATTCTCCAACATCTCCTGTCAAACCAGAGCTGTTTGAAGGAGTGTCTCTGCTAGATGCAGGGTCACAAATATTAAACACTCCTGAAAGATCTGACAGGGCTAATAGAAACACGGGGGTCAACTTGAATTCTTCCAGTGAGGAAGTCCAAAACTGTGAAAGTCCCTTTGGAGTGAAACTAAGGAGAACTTCTTCTTTGCTAAAGTACCAAACAGAACATCACTGGGACCCGCCCAAGCTGATGCCACTGGCAGTTCCTTCACCATCCTCTGTAAAAATTGAAGCCAAGGCACCAAATTCTGGAGCCAACCTTCACAATCTTGCCACGGGTGTTAAGGGTTTGGTTGCAAACTCCGGCATCCAAGAGAAAAATCTGCAGAAGACCAAAGCTGGAGAAGAAGGCACCAAGCTGAAGAAGACCAAAGCTGGAGAAGAAGGCACCAAACTGCAGAAGACCAAAGCTGGAGAAGAAGGCACCAAACTGCAGAAGACCAAAGCTGGAGAAGAAGGCATCAAGCCACAAGCAAGCAAACCTTCAGGTATTTCTCTTGTTGAGATGGGAGGACGTTGGCCAACAAGGTAGACCAAATGAAGTCACCAATGAATGCCACAGAGGTCATTGTTAAGCCATGCAACTTCCATTATAACAGCTGTAGTATCAGAATTGTGCAAATCTGATCCAGTTTTTCCTTTCCTCACATTTTCTTTGGGTGAAGGGGAATCTTTTCTAGTTGCTGTACAGTGGGAAATCGATGGGTGTTGTAGTAACAGAGCATACCCCAAGGTCTCCATTTTGCAGAAGGCCTCAGGCATGAAAAATCAGCGCCTCACATTAATTCCAGTTGAAGTGATTTATTGCTCACGCCTCTACACAAGAATCTAGTCAACTTGTGGTCAGCACTAAGCTGGTGCTGGATAAGAGTCAACAGAAGTTGAGAGGGTTGAACTTGGACCGGTTGTGGGAACGCAATGATCCCAGGCTACTTCCTCTCTTGATTCCTTCCCCTACATCAGGTTGCTTGCCATGCTAAACAAAGTCAATCTCTCCACAATTTTAATAGAATAACAGGGTTAACCTTGGAGGTCTTCTAGTCTAACCCCCCCGTTCGAGCAGGAGACGATACCATTTTGGACAAATGGCTGACCAGTCTCTTCTTAAAAACCTCCAGTGATGGAGCACCAGAGGTGGTATTCGTCCGATTCTGACCAGTTCTGGACAACCAGTAGTGGAAATTTTGAGTCGTTCAGAGATCCAGCAAATGCCACCTCTGACTGGCCCCGCCCCCATCTATTCTCCCCCTCCCGAGTCCCATCTGATCGGCTGGGTCTCCTTTTGCTGCCCTGCAAGAGGAGAATGGAGCTGGAAAGCAGGTTAGTGGGGGGGGGAAAGGGAATGGGGATTTTGCAGTATCCTTCCCCGGCCACGCCCACCAAGCCACGCCCACCAAATAGAGGTGGTTTTCAGCAAGTTCTGACTAGTTCTGGAGAAGCGATAGCGGAAATTTGGAGTAGTTCATTGAACCGGCAAAGTCCACCTCTGACTGGCCCCACCAACCCCATCTATTCTCTGCCTCCCGAGTCCCAGCTGATCGGCTGGTTCTTCTTTGGTTGCCCTGCACAGGAGAATGGAGCTGGAAAGCAGGTTAGTGGGATGGGGAAGGAATGGGATTTGGCGGTATCCTTCCCCTGACATGCCCACCAAGCCACGCGCACAGAACCGGTAGTAAAAAAAAAATTTGAATCCCACCACTGTGGAGCACCTACAATTTCTGAAGGCAAGCCATTTCCATGGGTTTGTTATTCTCACTGTCAGGAAATTTCTCCATAGTTCTAGGTTTTTTCTCTCCTTGTTGAGTTTCCCTCCATCATTTCTTGTCCTGCCTTCTGGTGGCTTTGGAGACTAGATCCCTGCGGTGTTTTTCTTTCAAAGTCAAGAAAAGAACGGAGGGTGGTTTGACTTATAACCGTAGGCATCAAGAGCTGCGCTTTTGCTGTACCTACCAGGGGAGCCTGTTCCACCTGCCGCAGGTAGATTCTCCCTCGAAGGGGAAGAGTCAGGCTTCGAGTAGGGCGCAGGTGGGTCCCAGCGGAGAAGACAAATCCTGGAAGGCGGAGCTGTGTTTTCAACTCTTTTTCTTCTAGAACAAATCCCTGCCGTGGTTTCGGGAAGCGCCTCCGTTCATCCGACGTGGCTCTCCGTGGCAAAGCCGAAGCAGCAAGGATCCCAGAACGACACAGCTGCCAAGGGACGGAAAAAGAGGGAGGAAGTGACAGCCAAAACGGGAAAAGAGGGCGCCAAGGTTATAAGCGCCTCTCACCCAGAAAAGGTACGGGAGGACCACACAAACGTTGGAGTAACAGAAGTGTGAATCTGTTGGTGTGTGGAATGCCACAGGAATGATGGAGTCCTCCACTTACAATTGTTCGCTTAGTGACTGTTTGAAGTTACTGTGGGACTGAATGTCAGGACTCAAGAGGGAAATGAACGATGTAATTTTAGTATCGGCTGGCTGTCAGGACTCCAACAAATCCACCCCCATTCAAATCATAAATCTCTAGCCGCATCTCTCAGAGACAATAAAATTGACTTATTAGAAGTGGCCGTGTCGGTGTTAGATGGATGCAGCCGATACTAAAATTCAACATTCATTTCTCCCTTGACTCCGGTCTTCCCGCCACCCCACCTGGATGTATATTCTCCAATGGGACACATCCATAGCCAAGAGTCATCAATCGTGCTCCCCAGTAGTAGTCTTGCGCGTCAACAACTTTAGGCTGCCAGAGCGATTATCTAGGCACTTAAGGAATGCACTGTTTTTCCCCCCTCCCTTTTTCTGGCAGCTAAAAAGACCAAAGGGGTGTCTTTTTAGTGGACACTGACAAGAGCAACTTAGGATCGTTTTTCACACATACGGCCAGGGGTGGGCTTCAAATAATTTAGCAACCGGTTCTCTGCCCAGTTGCTGTGTAGGCATGGCCTACTCAGCTTCCTGCACCACCTGGGAGAGAAAATGGGCCCATGGGGGGGATTTTCAGCCTCCCCGGGCTCCGGAGGCTTTCCTCAAGTCTCCAGGAGGGCAAAAACGGCCTACCTGGACTCCGGAGGCTCTTTGGAGGTCAGAAATGGGCCTGTTTCCGGCCTTCCAGAACTTCCAGGAGGCCCGTTTTTCGTCTTCCTTGAGCCTCTGCACGGACCCTGCACTTAACTGTGATCCAAAATGGGCCATGTGGGGACTCCTGAGAGGGAGGGGTGGGGTGGGTGGGGCCAGCCAGTCACCGGAACTACCGGTTCGCCGAACCAGATGTAAAATTAACATCTAGTTCGCTCGAACCGGTGCAAACCGGTGGCATCCCGCTCCTCCATATGACCAGCATCCCCATGGTCACTTGAGCAAAATTTGGATGCTCGACAACCGACTTGTATTTATGACAGTTGCAGTTTCCCAGGCTTACGTGATCCCCCTGTTAGGATTCCAGAAATCACTCTAATGAAATCATGATTCTCGAGCCAAACTTCAAAAAGCTTCAAAGGATTCATTAGAGGCGACATACTGGCACTGCCCTGTATGAAGCCGACTCTGGCATGTGAAATTTAGTCACCTGTGACATTTCCCCCCCTTCACCCCTGGGTGTCTCATAAATCAGGTTCTCCAATTGAGCACATTCACGGGCTGGGTGTCATCAATCCCATTCTCCAATTAATATATTCGCGGGCAAAAACTCTGGTATTTTAGTTACAATCTTTCAAAGATAAGAGTTGGAATGTACTTTCGCTTTCAACTGCTCTTCCAGATTTCCTTCCTCCCTCCCCCTTTTTATGGCAACTACTAAAACAGGCATAGGAATGTTTTTTGAGTTGACATTCGGCTCCCCTCACTTCTTGAAGGTGACCTATATAAAGCAAAAACAAATTGTGTGCAGATATAGAATTTAGGGTTTGACACCCGTGGTCACTCGAGCAAAATTTGGATGCTTGGCAACTGACTCGTATTTATGACGGTTGCAGAGTCCCAGGCTCACATGTTCCCTTTTTGCGACTGTCGGACAAACAAAGTCAAGGGGGAAAGCCAGATTCACTTAACAACCATGTGACCAACTTAACAGCTGTGAGGATTCACTGAACCACTGTGGCAAGAAAGGTCATAAAATGAGACAAAATTTTCTTATAACTGTCTCGCTTAGCAATGGAAATGTTGGATCAGTTGTGGTCGTAAGCCAAGGACTACCTCTATTGCAAGCTGCCTTACATAAAGGGTGGATCTATCTTGTTGGCGCGAGCCTTCAGAAAAAACTCCCATATCCTCCTGAAAAATCTTTTTAATTTTACATGTCATGTTTTTCTAACTTTTAAAAATGTCATGTTTTTTTATTTATTTTTTTAAAAAATATGAAATTTTCTTTTTCTTTTTTAACTTTACAGCAAGGACAGAAAACTGGCCCAAACCAAAATGTACGTCTGTTGGAGAGCAAAGTACCATTGAAGTCAGCGCCATTGCCTTCCAGAGGTAATAATGGAATAACATAATTGGGAGGGACCTTAGAGATCTACTAGTCCAGCCCCCTGCTCAAGCGAAAGACCCTAAGCCAGGGGTATCCAAACTTATACGCTCTACAGCTTGTGGATTTCAACTCCCAGAAATCAGCCCTCCAGAGTCTCAGCATCAGGGTGACCAAAGCTGGATGCAGGATTCCAAGTGTGGCCTGATCAAGGCCTTATAAAGTGGTATTAACACTTCACATGATCTTGATTCTATCCCTCTGTTAACGCAGCCTAGAACTGCGTTTGCTTTTTTTTGGCAGCTGCCACACACTGCTGGCTCATATTTAAGTGATTGTTAGAATTAGAATAGAGCACGAAGGGACCTTGGAGGTCTTCTAGTCCAGCCCCCTGGTCAAGCAGGAGAACCTACACCATTTCAGATAAGTTGCTGTCCATTCTCTTCTTAAAAACCTCCAGTGATGGAGTGGCCACGGTTTCTGGAGGCAGGCTGTTCCTCTGGTTAATTGTCTTCCCTGTTAGGAAGTTTCTAGGTTGCTTCTCCCTTTGATTAGTTTCCATTCATTGTTTTTTTGTCCTGCCTTCTGGTGTTTTGGAGAATAATTTGACCCGCCTCTTCTTTGAGGCAGCCCCTCAAATACTGAAATATTGCCATCATGTCACCCCTAATTCTTCTTTTCTTTAGACTAGCCAAGCCCAAATCCTGCAGCCGTTCTTCATATGGTTTAGTTCCCAGACCTTCAATCACTTTAATTGGTCTTCTCTGAACTTTTTCCAAAGTCTCAACAACCTTTTTGTACTAGGGTGACCAAAGCGGGTTGCGGTATTCATTGTCCACTACGACTCCCAAGACCCCTCTCGCAATCCCTGCTATTGAGCCAGGTACCACCTATATACTACTATACCTGTGCATTTGGTTTTTCTTGCCCCAGTGTAAATCCTTACTTTTGTTCACCATTGAATTTCACGTTGTTGGAAGTCAGCATTGATCTTGTCTTTCTTGGACAATATAAATAGCTGCTTTTGTTGATCTAATTCAGAATTCCGGAAGGTCAACGAAATGTTCATATTGCATGCTCAAGCCCACTTCCTGTTCCTTTCCTTTATTTTTACTTTTTTTTTTCAGAAGAACAGCTGTCTCGCACCAGATAAAGAGGCCCATCTCGACCCCTTGCAAGACATTAGCACAGCTGTCTTCGCTCCCTACAATGCTAAGAATAGGAATAGGAAACAGGATTCGTTTCCCTTCAAATCCTATTGCTGGCCAAATAGATCATACCACGAATATTGCAATGTTTTTCGGTGTGATGTCAATTTCCCCAAAACACAATTTCTTAGGAAGAGCCTAAATGCTCTAAGATCACACCTAGAAGGCTGCATCCAGTTTTGGTCACCACATGATAAAACAAGATGTTGTTGAGACTCTAGAAAGAGTGTAGAGAAGAGCATGATTCGGAGACTGGAGGCTAAAACATATGTAGAACGGTTGCAGGAACTGGGCCTGGCTAGTCTAGGGAAGAGAAGGACCAAGGGAGACAGGAGAGCAGTCTTCCAATATTTGAGGAGCTGCCACAAAGAGGAGGAAGGGGTCAAGCTATTTTGCAAGGCACCCGAAGGCCAGACAAGGAACAATGGATGGAAGCTGATCAAGGAGGCATTCAACCTAGAAATAAATGGGAAATTTTCTGACAGTGAGAGTCAGCCTTTTGCCCCCAACAATTTGGATCCTTATTTTACCTACCTCGGAAGGATGGAAGGCTGAGTCAACCTGGAGCCTGGTGGGATTTGAACTGCCAAATTGTAGGCAGCTGGGTGCAGAAGTAGCTTGAAATACTGCACTCTAACCACTGTGCCACAGCGGCTCCTATGATGTGATGTGGTTCTACTTAAGTATCCAGAGTCTTCAGGTGTTCTTGATGTCCCGCATTGTTTTTCAGAAGGACGTGCCAGGATCCTCCCCCAGGAAGGTCCTCGGGTGGAAAAGGACACCAGGTTACCACCAATCCTTCCCGTGGCTTCCTGCAGCTCCACCGAACCTCCATGGCTCTCTCTGGCGAAGAAGAAGGCCAAAGCGTGGAGCGAAATGCCTCAAGTTGTACAATAAGCCAACGAAAAACACACACATCTTCTCACAACCTCCTGCCAGTAGCGGTATTAATAGCTGAGAGGTGACGGCGTGGACATCTTTGTAGACGTCTTGAGAAGGGGAAGGAATTGGTCCAGGAGGAAACAAGGTCACGTTTTCACTTAAAAGGAGGCATTTCTGCTTGGCCCGACTGTTCTGACCCAGGCTTCGTCAAACGTGCTGAAACACCTACTTGTTTGAAAAGCAAAACCTACTTTAATGCAACCCTGGGAATTACTTTAATTCCCAGCCAGAATTAATCTTAAATAGTTCCCCAAGATAAGCACACGCTTTTCAGTGCTGGGGAATGCTGCCAAAAAGAGAAGTCTCCAAAGTAATTCTAACAGAACCCACCCGAAATATCAGAAAAAAAAAATGACCGGAATACACAGAGCTTCAAGGAGGGCTCGGAATCTAACGAACGACTTTGCTTCCTGCAAAGAGTTCATCATTGAGGTCTGACTTTTATCCCTTATGAGAGGAGAAATCACCTCCCAGCTTTACTCCCGAGTCGACCCTTTTGTTTCAGCTGCTCTCACCTTCTAGCAGCTCTGTGCACAGCTCACTGGGAACAGGCTCCCCTGGGTCCTCTGCCTCGCTGCTGCCAGATTCCGAAGGCTCCAAAGACAGCACCCCACTCCCAGATGGTCCTGGCCCCATCCCTGCATTGGACGGAGGACCCTCGTCTGAGTCCTCCCCAGACTGGTCCCCTTTCTTCCTTACTGTCCCAATTCCGCTGCCATCTGCACCGGCGGCTGGTGAACCACAAAACTGACCATCCAAGGTCCTTTCCGTGGGGCCACAATCCAGGTGGGTAAGCCTAGCCGACTCCTTGAGGACCAAAACTTCTGCTGAGATGAACTAGGTTTGTCTCTTGGGTTCAATTCCTTCCGCCGATCAGTGTTTTTGCCCAAGGTAGAGTAAGCTTCTGCTGGCACTTCTTACAGCCTGTTGGGACCTAGTAAAAGATCTAAGCCAAGACTTCTCTGAGTTGACCGCTTGAAGGTGGGTGGCCTTCAATTTCCAGAGTTGGTTGGCTTGCCAAACCCTGACAAATATGGATCCTGGCTTGTAGTTCTCCAAGGGTGAAGATATGAACCTCTGCTATTGTGCCCACATCAATAGACTTTCTTATTCAAAATGGATATTTTTTATAGCTACCAGATCAAGAAATCGGTCCTGGAATTAACTCTTCCCTCTTGGAATTAACCTGTTTCCATCCTACGCTGACCACTTGCCCTAACTTCCCAACTCTTGGAGCGAAATCTCTTCCACTCTGCAAAAGCAATCAGAAAAGCAATGCATTTTTTTAAAAAAAAAATTTTCTCGTCTGTTACAGTTGGCATTTTTTAAAAAAAATATGTCAATAAATAGCTTTGAAATAGAGTACATGGGAAGTAGATGCTGTTGGATAATTTTCACAAGTCTTTTGTCTTTCTTGGATCTCCAAACTTTTTGTCTTTCTTTTTGTGTCTGTTTTATTCTTAAATGTTCCAGTTGCCTCCTGGGCCTTGATATAGGTCAGTGGTCGCCAACCAGTGGGCCAGGACCACTGATGGTCTGTGAGAAAATTTTGGTGGTTCGCACAGAAATGTCACCCCCAAAGCAATTAATCCAGGCTGCGCAGGAACACAAGGCTTGTGTCGCTTTTTACGAACAACACGAGGTAGTGAGGGGAGGGGGGAAAAGGGCGGAGGGGGGAAACTGGCCCCACTCGCCTGGCCACCAGGGCTGCTTCTTTCTTTCTTCTGCTTTTGGCTGCACACACGGAAAGCAGCAAAAGTCTTTCTCTCCGCCAAACTCTGCCAGAAATGAGACTTTGGGAACCTGCAAGACATCCTGCTCCAAGAAGCTACAGAGCAGGAAAGAGGTAGAACAAGGGAGAGGGAGTTCAGAGGAAGTCCCAGACCCACCCCGTCTTCATCCAAGGGCATGCAGGGAGGAACGGAGAAGGGAGCAACATGAGTTGCATGGCTTATGGGGGAGGAAAGGGCCCTGATTCCCTTCATTAGCCACGCCTAGGAAGAGAGTTTAAAAGAGATGCGTGCTGAGTATGGTGCCTCCTGGATGAGTGTATCTTTTGTTGACTGTGGTTATCTGTGTTCCTGGCATCCTCCCAACCGTGTTGAATTACTGCTGTTCCTTCACATCTGGAATTCCTTCTCCTGCCCTGCCGGACTAATTACCTCCTCTTGCCTTGGACATGTAGTTAAAAGTTTTTGTTGACCAGGTTTTGGACTTGATTCTCTGTAGCCAAAGGGAGTTTTTTTCTCCAGCCCAGAAGGTAACAGGACATTGGGGGCGAAGTTGGAGCTAATAAAGGGACTCTTACTGATTATCTGACTGTGTTGCCTTTGTGCCACGCCCCTTTGGTCATCACAGTTTGTGTTGGTTTTATGCAAATTGGAAAAGCCCATTTGCAAGTTGAGTAAAACCAAGGCCCTGCAGGGACCTGGTGAGGCGAGGTGGGAAGGAGAGATAGGCAGGGGTGGGCTCACTTCTGCATCCCTGAATAATCCCTGGGTGGGCATTGCAGTGGTTGTAACTTCAAAACCAGGTCATAAGTAGGTTTTGGTGGTGCAACGTATCTTCGAACCATTGCTAAAGTGACTGGCTGTCTCAACTCTCTGCAGACCCAACTATATGTTATGTGTGTATATATACATATATGTGTGTATATATGTGTGTGTGTGTGTGTGTGTGTGTGTGTGTATGTATGTATATATGTTTTCAAAGATTTTCATGGGTACAGGTATGCAGGTCTTGGCGTATTCGGGTCTTTTCCCGTGTAAGATTGAGAGTATCTTGGCGACGTTTCGATAATGTGTATATAAACACACATAAACATACACAGTTCACAACTCTAAGAGCACTCAGGAATAAGCATCATTAAATGCAATCGGATTTACTTTGGAGTTAACACACAGAAGTTCTCGCACTTACTTACAACTGGAAAAAAAAAAAAGAAAGAAAACCTGTGCAAAACCAAAATTCAAGCGAAGACATCTGTGACCAAAATTATACAGTTATTCCTGAATCCTTAGGAAAACAATTGTTAAACAATTCAGACCTTTTAGAAGACAGTCAGGTTAGCGTATGGTAGCAAAATAACAACAACAACAAAAAAAAAAACATTCAGGAAGAATCCAAGTGGCCTCTATTTTGACCGGCAAATTATTTTATTTAAAGACAGCCATTCTGGACTAAGCCTGGGCCTTGAAGTAAAGGGATATATATCAGCCGGCAAAGGGGCTAACTCGATTCTTCCTGATTTGTGAATATTTTAAGCTTCACATTAACTGGGTTGGTTTTAATGCAACGGTTCCAAATAAAGATTACATTAAATAATAACCCCTCGACTGAAAGGACGCTGTGACGAATAAACTTGCGCTTCTTGCTTTGTCCAATTCTATTACAATATATAGACAGGCGCCTCTGTGAACAACATAGGAAGTTTGCTTGAAAAGGCAGCTGCTGAAAAAAACACTTCAAAATATATTTATATATATATATATATATATATATGGAGGAGATACACAGCACTCCCTGGGACTTACGAGTAAACCTTGCTCAGCATTGCCCTGCTGGTGGCGTCTCCTGTTGGATATTTAGTCTGTTTCTGCTTTGTAGACCAAGCTGGGACCAGCTGGAAGATTATTGCAGCTTAGAGGGGGAAAGGGATTTTCCTTTCCTTTTCCATTCAAGAGGTGGGAAGAACTTTGAGTCCTGAGGTTTTTAAGGCCCTCCGTTAAGTTCGTTTTGCCTTCGGGCACCATCAGTTAGTTGGAAGAAGCCGTGCGAGAGAGAGAGAGAGAGAGAGAGAGAGAGAGAGAGAGAGAGAAGGCCTCGGATTGCAAGGGCATTCACACGCACCCCGTTCACTTCCTCTGAGTGAGGAAGAGGAAGGTCAAAATGCTCCTGATGCCTTTTAGACGCGCTTTCAAGGAGGTCATCGCTAGGAAGGGAAGCTGAGCTTTGTTCTCCAGAGGAAGGACGGCCAGGATCCACCAGCACCAGGCGGGACCATTGGGGTTCACCTGTAAATGAAAAAAGGCACGCCTGTAATCAAACCTGTGGGAGATGGCCAGCCTGAGCTGGAAGGAGGGGTCAAAGGCGTCATCAGTCATGAGTCCGTGCACACCCGCAAGAGTGCGCACAACCTTCAATTCCTTCCTTATCCCCCACTCATTTCCCTTGACTGTTAGTTGACCAGATTCTTGTAGAGAGCTTAAGCTTGTGGCACATCTTGATACTCAATTGAACTGCCCAAATCTCCCAATTTCCCAACCTTGTATATATGCGTACTGGTGGTCCTTGACATACCGCCATTTGCTTAGCAACTGTTCAAAGTTACAACGGCACACGAAAAGAGTGACTTGCGACTGGTCCTCGCATTTACAAACATTGCAGCCTTTGCCCTGGTCAAACGATCGAAATATGGGCAATTGGCAACCGGTGTGTATCTACAACGGGTTGCAGCGTCCTGTGGTAACATGATCCCCAATTCATAACGTCCCAACAAGGGGAGTCAAGGGGCGGGGGGGGAAGCTGGATTCTCTTAACAACTGCATGATTCACTTAATGAATGTGGTGGTTCACTTAACAACCATGGGGGGTGGGGGGAAAGGGCATATAATTGGGCACTTAACCACCATCTTGTTTAGCACTGGAAATTCAATTGTGGTTGTGGGTCACGGACGATTCTTAACATTGCCTGCCACAGAGGACATCCTGGCTAGGATGAAGCTGGCTTTGCAAAGGTAGATATTCTCTCAGTGTCGGATAGGAGTCAGCAACCGGCGGCTCTGGAGCCGCATGTGGCCCTTTCACCCCTCTGCTGCAGCTCCCTGTTGCTGGTCGGCTCCACAATTGATACGGCTTTTGCTTAGGACAGGTTGAGGAAAAAGGATGCCGCGCTAGGAGGAGACTCCATGGTTGGGGGAACCGCCATAGAGTCTGGTCGGCTCCAGAATTGAATGGAATGTGGGGGCGGGGGCTTCCAGTTAGGACCTTTGTGGCTCTTTGAGTGTTTTAAGGTTGCCGACCCCTGGTTTAGGATTAGGAGGCGAACAGTGTTAACTAAGGGCCGTGCCTTTTTTGGGCTTGCTTGCTTGCTCGTCGTACCTGCGGGTCTGGTTCTTTGGCGGGCATTGGACCGAAATGATGGATAATGCGTACTCTGAGTGAGGATTTCAGAGTGTTGAACCAGGTGTGGGCCTGATCGTACACAGCACTGTGAAGGATTGTCAAGTATTCAGAGGCCTCTCCGTAGACCTAAAATGGGCACAGAAGAGAGCAAAGAGTTTAGGCTGAACCTGGAGATACGGGAGAAGGAAGAGAAAGATTTTTTCTCTCTCTCCCAGATATGTTTATGATAACAACAACAGAAAACTGAGGGTTGGCCAGGGCTCAGCTGCCCTACCACCTAGGCAGGGTGTCAGCAACTCGCGGCTCTAGAGCCACATGCGGCTCTGCTTTGGGCCCTCTGTTGTGGCTCCCTGTTGGATGATCCCACCAACTGACTGGCCCCACCCCTCGCCCTCTCCTCCCAGTCATTCCTCGCCTGGCCTGAGAAGATAACACACACACACACACAGAACAGAAATGGGAGGGAGAGAGGCCCATTTCCCACAGAAAACACCGGGAGCCACAAAACCTGGGTAGGCGTGGCAGGATGTGTGTGTGTGTGTGTGTCATGGGACTGGGAGGGAGTGACGTTGAGTTGGCCACACCCACTCAGGGTGTGTTTTCTTTTTGGATGGGAAATGGCTCCAAATGTCTCTTTGAGCATTTAAGGTTGCAAACCCCTGTCCTAAGTTTATTGCTCCCTCCCCCAAAATAAATATTTTTTTTTTAAAAAGCAGGTGGTCCTCAACTTACAACAGTTCACTTAGTGTCCTTCAGAGTTACAACACGGCATGGGGAAAAAAGGGGACTTAGGGCTGTTTTTCACAGTTATGACCTTCTATTTTCTATCTTCTATCTATCTTCTTTCTTCTTCTATCTTTCTTCTATCTGCTATCTTTTCTTCCTCTATCTTCTATTTTCTATCTATCTTTTCTTTTACCTTCTACCTTTCTTCTATCTTCTACCTATCTTTTCTTCTATCTATCTTCTATCTACAGTGACTTTAGTTATCTGTGTTCCTGGCGTCTTCCCCAACCGTGTTTAATTACTGCCATTCCTTCACGTCTGGAATTCCTTTTCCTGCCCTGCTGGACTAATTACCTCATCTTGCCTTGATTGGAGATACAGTTTTTGTTGACCACGTTTTGGACTTGATTCTCTGCAGCCAAAGGCTGTTCCTGGGAGAGTTTTTCTCCAGGCCAGAAGGTAACCAGGACATTGGGGGCAAAATTGGAGCTAATAAAGGGACTCCTACTGATTATCTGATTGTGTTGCCTTTGTGCCACGCCACTTTGGGTCATCAGTGTGCATATTCCTGTGCCTCTTAAAGCTACAACCCACCTTCTTGTCTTCGATGTACTCGATATCCGCCGTGTTGTAGCCGTCGCACTTGCCGTGCTGTAGGACCTTAAACCGCCTCTTACCAATGCTATCCACCACCGAGCGCCCATCGCCGAAGACTTCCATGTTCCTGATCTCTAGGATGCAACCGTAATCTGCAAACCTGTTTGCCGGAAGAGCGGAAGCAAAGAGAAGAGGATGAAGAATCCGGGAATCTGCAAGCTCATGTAAAGCTTACACATCTCACTGTCTCGGGCTTCAAGGGCTGTCTAAACACAAGCCACAACTGGCTAAGTTAGGTGTGAGCTCTTCAATAAACTATGGGTATGAGATGTATGACCCTATGGAAGGAGGAGGAGGAGGAAGAGGAGGAGGACTATGGGGTCCTTGCTGCTCTCTGAGCTTGGTTGTTTTCTTGCAGACATTTCATGACCAAGCTAGGTAACATTATCAGGGCTGGAAGGGAGTGGACTTTGCAGGGAGGAGGGTGGTGGTGGTAAATGATTAAAACTCTACCTGGAGAAACCAGGAGATGGTGAGTTCTAGTCCTGCCCTAGGCACGAAAGGCGGCTTGGTGATTTGGTGCTAATCACCAGGAGACGGTGAGTTCTAGTCCCGCCCTAGCCGTGAAAAACGGCAGGGTGACTTTGGGCCAGTCAATTTTCACTCCCCCCAACCCACTTCACAGGGTTGCTGTTGTGGAGAAAAATTGGAGGAGGAAAGGTGTGCTGCCTTGAATTATTTGTAAAAATAATAAAGGCAGGTTATAAATAAATAAAATCTTGGGGACTTTCCAAAAATGCCAATATTAGGAGGGTTATAGTTTTCCAGCCTTCTACTACTTGAATTGAATTTGAATACTACATTGCTAACAGGAGGTATGGAAGCGGCTTTCTTCTCTTTGAAGCTGAATCTCGGGAAACTGCCCAGCTAGGTTGGAAGGAGGAGTTAAGCGAGGCCCTAGCTTGGAATCATTGCATAGTTACAAATGGCAGAAGCGTGATCTAGAGCGAAATGCAGGTCATTCCCAGAGGAAGGTAAGCAATGCGGGAAGATTCTTGCATACAAAGTTAGCGACCGTCATTATTCACAAGTGGCTCCTGTTGCAAATGGCCCTTAAACATGGAACACGTGGGGTCATGCTCATCACATGCTACTTACCCTTTGACCGGATCTCTAATGCACATGCCAAATTGCCTAGTGCCGGTTTCCATGCATCTCCTAACCATCAGTCGGTAGCAGGGCTCAAAAATGTGTAGAGGGCAAGGAACGGTGGGATAGGCCATTGTGCATACAAATATAGGGACATTCTTATTCAAGCTGCAGTGAGAAATTTTATATTAAAAAAGTAAATAAGCAAACAAGTACATTTGTTTGCTTATTTTAATAAAACACAGGAGAAAGATAACTCGTAAAGGATCAAATACTTATGCTTTTGCAGTTCCATAAAACTCCTGTATTTTGTTTCAAATTGCACAGTATTGTTATGTTTCTGGACCTTCAGTTCCCAGAATTCCCCAGCTAGCATGCTTCTTTGGAAGGAATTCTTTGCAGTCCTGACATATTGGCTGGGGAATTCTGGGAAATCCAGACCATTTAAAACCGCCAAACACTGCTCTAGATTCGTAACCTTTTAATATCGTGGAGAATCTATACGCCTCTTTAAAAAAAAAAAGAAAAACTATACGAAATGCATAACACAACATTGTAATTTTTTTCCCCCCACCCAAATTTACAAGTTCCTAAATTTTATCCATGGAGTCTCAAGGAGGTCTTGTGGGATCCCATATTAAGAACTTTCACTCTACATAAATAACACAGCTCAACCTGTTCCTTGAAAGCTAACTTAACAACCAGTTCTAACAGTTGAAATCCAGAGTTATATAGTCACACTTCAGATATCAGAATGTACCTTAAACACACAACTACCTAGCCGGAAGCAGAATATTGAAAGCAGTGGTAGAATTCAAATAATTTAACAACCGGTTCTCTGCCCTAATGATTTCTTCCAACAACCAGTTCACCAAACTGCTCAAAAAGTTAACAACTGGTTCTCCCAAACTGGTGCGAACTGGTGAATCCCACCATTGATTGAAAGCAGGAATCATTTGAAACACCTAATATCACCCCAAATATTCTTAAAAACTAGTCCTCTAGTCCCAAAATGATGTCAACTCCAGCTGAGCTGCCAAATAATTTTTTCCCCTCATGATTTGCAAGGCATAGAAAACTGGGGTCACCTACTTGGAAAATTCAGCCATTTCTTCTTCATTAAGCTTTTTCCTTTCGGCGAGTTCCGCCGGAAGATACTTGGCGATCAATTCTTCTATCACCACCGTCTTGCAAAGCTTCTTCATGGCCAGGCACTGGAGTGAGAAAAAGAGATCTTTCAGAAAAACAGTGTGGGGTTCAATCATAGCTCAGGAGGAACGATGAAGCAACCACGGAGAAGGCCCTTTCACGTTGTTCCATCACTTCGACGGGCTAATGCTTCTAAATTCTACACGCTGCTACCGCATTTCTCCGAAAATAAGACTCTGTCTTAATTCTTTTTTTTTTGCCACCAAAAAAAGGCACCAGGTCTTATTTTGGGGGGATGCCATCCACTGATTAACCTCACTTGTGTGCAACAAGACTTTCCAGAAGGCCTCTGAAGCCAAAAACAGAGCTCTGGATCGATCCAGAGCTTTGTTATCAGCTACAGAGGCTTTCAGGAAATCCTTGCCAGCCTTGCTGGCTGAAGAAATGGGCTGGCAAGACAGGTGTCGGGGTGTACAAGACCTGGCTACAACTGTCCAAAGGTAAGTAGTAGGGCAGCTCCACCCTCCACCCCCACCCTAGCTTAATTTTACCCATCTACTCTGGAGTGGGCAGGATCTTAATTAGGGCTTGTTTTGGGGATAGGGGCTTATATTGGGCGCACGTGTAAAATCAAGCTAGGACTTACTTTCAGGGTAGGTTGTATTTTTGGAGAAACAGGGTAGTTTTACCATGTTAATTTACCTCTAAGAGGTTTTCTTTGCACAAGGGGCACTGTGGGTTGTGATCCAGGCAGCGTTCAAGGCACCTTAGGCAAAAGGTGTGTCCACACGGGGTGGTGACAGGTTCATAGAAGAGTCTGGGAGAGAAAGAGAGGGGGGAAAACTTACCATCTTGTAAGAAAACTCAAACGCGAAAAGACATGAAAGCATAACTTCTGAGCTGGGGCCAACAAGCGATGTGGTAGATGAGCTTGGTCAACCCAACCTGGGTTTCCAGGCCTCCATCGGGCCTCGGGATTTTATGGGTTTTGGGTGGGGGGGTGTGTGTCTTCCTTTTAAGTGTGCATTATTTCTGTGACCCTGTGCTTCCCTCTTTATTGTGAACTAGCTGATAACCTGGCATTGCCGGGTATTTATTTATCCCAATCCTGTATTAAGACAGGAAAATGCTGTAGTCACGCTGTTATACTGTCTTTCGTGCAATTCTTCTATTCCTCCACAAGAGGGAGCCCTGTGAAGCCGTTACCATGGCAGAAGCCATTTTAAGGCACCCCCCCCCCCCAAAAAAAACAAACTCCCTTCCAACTCCGTTCTTTGGTTATTCATTGCACGAAACTGAAGACAATGCAACCACAACTTTTCGAGTGTGGTATCTCTTAGAACTGGAGGGATGCTTTTGAACTGGCCTGTCCATAGGAAAAAACACATCAGGTACCTCATACACAGGGCGCACTCCATGTCAGATGGATCCACAAAATCGAAGGCGATGCCATTTTCAGCATTGGGTTCTTCTTGTTCGTCACTTTGATCTACCAGAAAGGAACAAAGGAGAAGAAAGGGGGGCAGGGGGGAGAGGAGAAAGGAGAAGAGAGGAGAGAGAAAAGAGAGAGGAGAGAGAAGATAGAAGAGCAGAGAGAAGAGAGAGACAGAGGAAAGAGAAAGAGAAGAAAAAAGAAAGAAGAGAGAAAAGACAGAGGAGAGAAGAGAGCAAAAGAGAGAGGCAAGGGAAAAAAGAGGAGAGAGAAAAGAGAAAGAGGAGAGAAGAGAGAGAAAGGGAGGGAGATGAAAAGAGAGAGAGAAAAGAAAGAGGAGAGAGAAGATAGACAGAAGAGCAGAGAGAAGAGAGAGAGAGGGGAGAGAGAGAGAGGAAAAAAGAAAGAGAGGAGAGGGAGAAGAGAGAGAAAGGGAGGAAAAAAGAAAAGAGGAAAAGAGAGAGGAGAGAAGAGAGCAAAAGAGAGAGGCAAGGGAAAAGAGAGGAGAGAGAAAAGAGAAAGAGAGAGAAGAGAGAGAAAGGGAGGAAAAAGAAAGGAGTGAAAAAGAGGGGAGAAAAGGAGACAGATGAAAAGAGAGAAGAGAGAGGAGGAGGAGAGATAGAAGAGAGGAGAGCGGGAGAGAAGAGAGAAAGAGAGAGAAGAGAAGCCAGTGCGATTGTTAGGAAAAAAATTATGCAAACTTCATTTTCTCCAAGACGTCTAAACTGAAAACAAGCAATGCATTCGGGGCTTGAGGGCAACAGAGAGATGCTTGCAAATGGAACAATCAATTCGTTAAACTTCGGCAAACTTCCCTTGGATGAGAAGCAAAACGTTTTCAAGGGGAAAAACAAAACAAAACAAGTCCAGTTGTCTTTTGGGAAAAGCACCTTTGGGACAACCGTGACCTGGACGACGGAGAAACTCCATAGATTTCCTGGGCTGGTTGACACCTGGTGATCTGACCCTTGCCAGAGTGCAACTGGCTTTGTTTAACACAACTTACCCATTTTGGCTATTTTGGGGGGAAGATCCGAACCCGCAGCAACTTCAGCCTGGCGCTTATTGTTTGGGGGTCTTTCCTTCCCAGGGTTGGTCTCCACAGGCGAGGCGACATCTCCGTTTTCATCCAGGCTTCCTTCCTGGCTAAGGAGAGGTTTTCCTGAGGGGTCACAGTTGGCCACGTTCTGGTCTTTGCGGTTCTCCTGGTCCAGGTCAACCTGCGCCAAAGAGAACTGCACTGTTAGGATTCCGGTAGTCACCCCAATTAAATCATGAGTCTTGAGCCAAACTTCCAAAGGATTTATTGGGAGTTAACATGTCCGGCACTGCCTGGGTGTAGCCGACTCTAGACATGTAATTCATTGTCACCCTTGACCCTGGGTGTATAATTCATATTCTCCAATGGGACACACCCAGAGCCAGGAGTCATCAATCATGTTCTCCAGTTAGAATTGTGCACGGCAGAAACTTCAGTCACCTAGTTACTATCTATCTTCAGTCAGTTACTACTATCTTCAGTTACCTAGTTACTATCAGGGTGGGATACAAAAGCAACGAAGTCACAACAACAGTTGAAGTCTCTTTAATTCCTTCAACTTGGCTTCAAAGGTCCAATTATCATTGACTGGAGAAAAAAACTCCCTCACAAACTGTTGTGAAAAAGAAGAAAATCCGTGCAAACTCAAAATACATATAAATTATAAATAGAAAAAAACAACACAAACCACACTGAAGCAATTAATGAGACAAGGCAGGATAAGGGCTTGAAGACGTCCACATACACACACTGGGAAGGACGCCAGAACTCAAATAAGAAATGAAAGACTAGAATTATTTCCAGCACTGGGCCATGCGCAGTTTGACCTTTTAAACAGTCCTCACAGCTGCCGCCCATGAAGGGGATCAGGGCCCTTTCCTCCCTCGCAGACCATGCCATTCACCTTTATCCGCTCCTCCCTGAGTGCCCTAGGATGAAGAGGGGATGGGCCTGGGTCTTCTTCTGAATGCCAGGGGTGGTTCACAAGGTCAGAGTGGGGCCTCCAAACCGCATGTTTTCTTAGCCAACAGATACACCAAACCATCCCCAAATTTAATCCTCTGGCACCCAGACAGCACCATTGTGTGTTTTGGCATTCCAACCCATCACCGCCTGTCAGGCGGAGGTAACAGGCGATTACAAAGGTATGAAAATCAAAGGTTAGTTGTCTCCTGCTTTTATAAAATACAAAATTCCAAGCTTCTTGGTAATACGGGGTTTGGAAAACACTAACCTCAGAAAGGAGACCCCCTCAAATGTTTTTGGTTTTTTGCCAGTCCAGGAAAAAGGATAGAGAAAGCTCGAACTGAAAAACGCTCTTCTGCAGTCACGACATAAACCCGACATTGAAAAACCAGGATTGCCAGATGCTGCACCTTTTCTATCCTGCTCTACGGAGTAGAGAGTTGGTCTCTGGACGGAAAGTCCCTTGGAAGAGACCGGAAGAAGCATTTGAAATGTGGATTTACAAACGGCCGTTACGTATAAGCTGGGTTGACAAAATCAGAGAGGAGGAGGAGGAGGAGGGAATAAGCTGCCTGGGAATCATCAAAACCATAAAAAAGTGGAAGTTAGAATATTTCAGACAAGTGATGTGGCACCGGGAAATATATGGCATCCTTCGCTTAATCCTCTCCAAGGAAAGATTGAAAGGAAATGAAGGTCCATGCAGAAGAAGAACATCGTGGCTTCAAAATCTAAGGGGCTGGTTTGGACAAAACTCAGCAGCCCTTTTTCGTGGGGCTGTTGATCAAAATACGATTGCCAACATCTGATGATGGATATGAAAGGAGAAGAAAGGAGAAGTAGAAGGAGGAAGAGGAAGAGGAAAAGAAACAGGAGGAGGAGAAGGAAGAAGAGGACGAGGAGAAGAAAAAGAAGAAGTGATTACAAAATATTTTTTAGGGGTCTCCCAGTTATAGACTGTGTGCTTCTGTCTATGTTCAACAACTGAAAGGAGCCCCCTAATTCCTTTGTTTTTTATGAAAGCCTAACTTCATTTTCAACTTTTATTCTTTATCTCAGGGCGAAAGAGCAAAAGCCGAATTCTGCAGCTTCGTATCTGATGAGTCCAAGGAGACTCCCTACTGGTTGTCTCCAAATCTTTGCACTGTTGTGGCTTTGCGCACAGTTGTGGCTTCACACCTCGTGCATGACTGGCAAAACCACAAGGGCACACAACTCTCTCTCTTGCCGATAACATGCCTCTTCTCCTTCCTTCTGTTATCGCAAAATGACTGGGTAGAAATCTCTTTACAAAACCTGGAGATTATATGCCTAGAAAGAGGTCCTGGATTTATTTTCCATCATTATTATTTATTTTTTTTAAGGTGGCGAGCACGCTTAATAGTCCCCCTTCCTATTTTCCTCACAACAACAACCTTGTGAGGTGGGTTGGGCTGAGACAGGAAGGGACTGGCCCAAAGTCACCCAGTTGGCTTTCATTCCTAGGGCGGGACTAGAATTCACCGTCTCCTGGTGATTGGCCCAAAGTCACCCAGTTGGCTTTCATGCCTAAGGCAGGACTAGAACTCAGCACAATACTGGAATTTGGGTTCAGAATCTTGCATGGGGAAAAAGTTGGGGGCCTCCAATTAGAAGGATGAATCTTTCATCACTATAGATGTTTTTTCCCAGTTGTAGGGCCAGATTCCAGCCTTGCCCGTCCCCAGTTTTGCAAACTTCTATCAGGAATGTATCCATAACTGCAAACTTTTGAAAGTCCCAGGTGCTGGTTGTCATTTGCTTGTTTTGCAGGCATCACTAGAGCAAGATACACAAACACAACTAAGATGTTTAAAAACCTGGAGACTAAGACATATGAAGAACGGTTGCAAGATTTGGGCTTGGCTAGTCCAGAGGAAAAAAAAGGGTTAGTGGAGACATGATAGTATTCCAGTATTTGAGGGGTTACCACAAAAAGAGGAGAGGATCAACTTGTTTTCCAAAGCCCCAAAAGGCAGAACAAGAAACAATGGATGGAAACTAATGAAGGAGAGAAGCAACCTGGAATTAAGGAGAAACTTCCTAACAGTGAGGACAATTAACCAGTGGAACGGCTTGCTACCGGAAGTTGTGGGTGCTTCATCACTGGAGGCTTTTAAGAAGAGCCTGGACAGCCGTTTGTCTGTAATGGTTATAGGTCTCCTGCTTGAGCAGGGGGCTGGACTAGAAGACCTCCAAGGTCCCTTCCAGCTCTATTCTGATTGATTGATGTGTCAGGAAAGCAGAAGAGCTGTTTATGGGAGGTGCCTGTAAGTTTTTCTTTCTTGCATAATCAAGAGAAAAAAAATTAACCGGCAAGCATCGAGGTTGCTCACGGGACTAACACAACGAAGGATGGAGCAGAGTTCAGGCTGCAGAGGACAAAATAAAATTATATTATTTCTAGTTCAACCTCAATCCGGCTGAAACCTTGCAAAACTGGATATTCCTAGTTGGAACTGGATCAGAATCCCAGTGAAAAAAAGTGCTGGTTTGATGCCAATAAGACTCTTTCCCTTGAACTATTTCAACCACTTTTAAAAATTACGTAAGCCTCCCACATTGGAGAGGTTTACGTAGGGGAGGATAAATTCAATGCCAGATCCATAAATCATGGGGTTCTTTTGTATTCTGATGTTGTTCAGAAAGCAGAAAGGTATTTACATCGCATGGAGCACTAAACCAGGAACAAGACAGAGCCTGTAGGGTTTTCCATGCACTCTTGCGATTCACAATCACAAACAAAACAATTCACATTTATTTGTCTTCCGCCTGATTTAACAAATCACTCAAGATGGCGGACCTATCCAACACATCCTCTTATTTTCCCCACAACAACGATCTCACAACAACAAGTCACAAGCCAGCTATCATGGCTAAGGCAGGACTCAAACTTGCCATCTCCCGCTTTCTAGGTTGGACGCCTTAACCACTAGACCAAACTGCGCTCTCTCTCTCTCTCTCTCTCTCTCTCTCTCAGGGAGCGGGGCAGGGGTGTTGTGCGTGCATGCGCAGGGGTGGCGTGACACATTGCATTGCGGGTGCCGGCACACAGCAACAAAAAAGGTTCGCCATCACCGGTCTGGAGGAATGTCTCCAGTTGGGATGACGTATTGGGCCATGTGATGGGTGCAGGGAATAGATCTTTGAATTTCTATTGGGAAGGGAAAATGCGGAACTCTCAAATTCGGATTTTCCCAGATATGCCAATATGACGACTCTAATAAAATGGAACTTTGAGGAAATGTTCGTCTCGGAGTTTATTAGTTTGGAGTCGGTTGGTTAGTTGGAACGCTGGCACAAGGCCACACCTGTACGCAAAATGAAAAATAAAATTCAGGGAAGGAACATCGTACTGCTTAGCCCTCAACATACGACCACAATTGAGCCCCAAATTCCTGTGGTTAAGTGAGACATTGATGGGAGTTTTGTCCCATTTTACGACCGACCTTCCCTCTTGTTATGAAGTGAATCACCGCGGTTTTTAAAAAGTTAGTAACCTGGTTGTTAAGTAAATCCGGGCTTCCCCCACGGACGTTGCTCGTCAGAAGGTGGCAAATAAGGGAGTCACATGTCCTGGGGACCCGGTGACCATCATTAAAATGAAACCAGATGTCCAAGCACCTGAATTTCGATCACGTGAGGATGGGGACGCTGTGACGGTCGTAAGGATGTAAAAAAAATGGGCGCAAGTTGCTTTATTTTCAGTTTTGAATGGTCACTAAACGAACTGTTGTAAGCCAAGGACTGCCTGCTCTCAGTAGGCAAGACCCTTCTATATACCAGTTCCCGCTTCCAACAACTTTACAAAGCAGAGAAGTATGAAGTGGGTACCAAGTAACTTTTGTTTCTTCTGCCAAAATCCAGTGCAATTTGATAAACTGGTTTCCTACTCTTTTTTAAAAACAAACAAACAAGGAGATAAAACTAGGTTGCATGGTAGCCAAAACGTTACAGCCTCCTGTTATGGCCTGTTGGCTGCCACCACCTCCTGCAGCTGAATTGGGGGAGGAGGATTTGTGTCAGGGTCAGCATCAAGACAACCTGGGAACTTTGAGGGGGAAGAGGAGCGAGAGAGGGGGGGAGAGAGAGAGAGAGATAGAGGAGAGAGGAAACAGAGAGAGAGAAAAGAGAGGGGAAACAGGAGAGAGAGAGAGAAAAGAGAGGAGAGAGGAAACGGAGAGAGAGCGAAGAGAGACGGGAAACAGGAGAGAGAGAGAGAGAGAGACAGAGAGAAGAGATAGAGGAGAGAGAGGTGGAGCCTGGGCCATCCATCAGCCCTCAGATGGAGAGTCAACAGACCCCAGGTCAGGAGGTGGCTGATGAGTAAGAGGAGGAACAGCCGGGTTCAGTGCCTGACTACCGATGTGCAGAAGGCAGAGGAGAGGAGAGCAGTGGAAATCTATGGGCTGGTCCTTGGGACAGAAGAGCCACCGCTGCTAGTGAAGCCCCATCCTAGCTCTGGGGATAAAATACAGGAGGCGGAGATGAATAGATATGGCAGACAACTATTCATCTTCCGGCCAGCCGTACTTGTTAGTCTGCAAGTGGAACTTTCTTGCCGGCGCTCCTAATAAAGGAATCTTTGATTTAACTTCCGAGGGTTTGTCGTCGTGTGGGGAGCTTCAGAGCAGCTTCCTTACCTTGGGCATCTCGGATTTTGCCTTCTCATTCTCGTCCTGAAGAACGAGGCACAACAAAAACTCGCGGAAAGCTTCGTCGGTCTTGCACAGTATATTGAGGACGTGGCCCTTTCGCACGTGGCCCTGAAAAAAGACAGAGCAGAGGAGCGTATCGCCACGTTGGCCGTGGATGGTGGAAACAAAACAAAAAACCCCGGCATGGCAGGCCGATGAAAAATCATTTAAAGGAGCTGCTTTAAGCTGGGCAGGCAGTCCTCAGCTTACAACGGTTCGCTTAGTGACCAAGAGTTCGCTTAGGGACAGTTTTGAAGTGACAAGAAAGGTGAAAACAACTGACGGACGGCTTTTGTCCCCACACTTATGACAGTTACAGCATTTCTCTCCCCAACCCTTGAGGTCAGAATTCAGACTCTAGGCCAGGGATGGTGAACCTTTTTGTTGTGGTGTGCCGAAAACCTGCGTGGGCCGGCACCCACAATGCAATGCGTGTGCAACACCCCCACCCCGCCCCCTTACCTGCACTGCACATGAGTGCGCCTCCCAGCTGATTTTCAGCATGCCAGAGAGAGAGAGAGAGAGAGAGAGAGAGAGAGAGAGAGAGAGAGAGAGGACAATATGAGGCAACTCTCTGGAGTTTCAAAACTCACCTTCGCCCAATAAGGTTGGACCTCACAGGCTATTTTCGCATCCTGCAACGCCTCCTCATAGCATTTCAAAGTAGAATTGATTTGCGACCGGTTGCAATACAGCAAATGATCAGAAGGAGCTGTAAAAACAGTGGAAAAACATCTCCATAAATTGACTGATTATTTATTTGATCTTATTTGTTCTCACTCAGGGCTATTTCTATGTTTTGAGCTTCCAGGGAAAATAGTTCCTTACAGGAATCCTTTACTATTCCTAATATTAGGAATATGACTGTTCCTTTACCATATTAATATTCCTTTACTATTCCTAAAATATTTCCTTAAAGGAGTCCTTTAATTAGGAATATTAGTATTCCTTTACCATTCCTAAAATATTAGGAATATGACTATTTCTTTATCAGTCCTAAAATATTTCCTTTAAAGGAATCCTTTAATATTCCTAATATTAGGAATATGACTATTCCTTTACTATTCTGAAAATATTAGGAATATTACTATTTACTATTTTGAAAATATTAAGAATATTACTATTACTTTATTATTTTGAAAATATTTCCTTAAAGGAATCCTTTAATATTTCTAATATTAGAATATTACTCTTCCTTTACTATTCCTAATATATTAGGAATATTTCTATTCCTTTACTATTGCTAAAATGTTAGGAATATCACTATTCCTTTGCTATTCCTAAAATATTCCTTAAAGGAAATATTCAGGGGAAGAAAAAAAAAAAATCTTTTCCTGAAGATTTAAAACGAGAAAGTTTAACAATGAACCAGAGAAGTGCTTGCTGGTTTTATTCTCTCTCCACGCCACCCTGGTGTTTCTCTTAGGGAATGCTGTTCTCAGCCATCCCATTTCTCTTATATAAGCACTTTGAGGGTTGCATAAATGTGTGAAATGCCAAAGCAAAACAGCACCATAACATTCAGCCAGAGGAGGGAGGGTGGGGGGGGAGGAAGAGAGAGAGAGAGAGAGAGAGAGAGAGAGACAAAAAAGGAAGCAATATTGCAACTGCTACACCCAAAGAGGGTGGGAAAACATCGTAAAACTCTTTTGAGTATGCCTAAGTTTCACACAGACACATCCACACAAAAATAGCCGAGAAGACAACTGTCTGAATTTTGCACACTGTCCGAATTTCCACACTGTCCGAATTTTTTTTCCCCCCGGTCGCTTTCCAAGTGCCAGGGGAATTCAAAGTTGGCATTTGCTGGAAAGCCCCCCCAACCCCTCAACGCCTTCTGATTTTTACAACTCTCCTACTACCATTAAAAAAGACCCCCCAACTTGGCTGGAGGGTCCCGGCTGGAAGCTGGAAACCAGCGGACGGAAGGTCCACGGCTGGCCATGTCCGCAAGGGTGGCCATTTTAGATTGCCGCAGTACAGCCCAAATTGATGAGGGTGGATGCTCCAGCCAGAAAGCTTCAGTCATGAGTGAGAAATCTCACGGCGGAGGTGAGGGGGGTGTGTGTGTTTGAAAAGCTGCCCCGAGACCCCTCCCCGATTCAATCGGTGGTGTTGTGGTTTCCAACGCAGATCAATTCCTGGCTGGAGAAGGTGGACTGAAAAGACAGCAGTGCGGTGGAACAAACTCCAGTAATTCCCTTTTAAAGTACCGTTAAGGTTTGGGTGTCTGGAGATTAGATAGATAGATAGATAGATAGATAGATAGATAGATAGATAGATAGATAGA